CATGAAATCCGCATCATTCAATGGTTCAGACAGAGATTGTCTAAGTTTCCTTTTCGTCCTGATTAATGTGTGCAGTTTGGTAATGCCAAAGGAATAATTGTTCTCCAACACTTTAGTCAGGGGGTTGATATAATAAGCATCCACCTCAAAATTCCATCCTTACTTTTGTAACTAGGTCTGGAAAGCAAATTTAATAAAGAACCAGCATATGTTGTCCTCCTAGAAACATCTCTTCCTAACCTGCCCTCTTGTCTAATGATGAGAACACCCAAAAAGGGCAAGGACCTATTCCCTCCCATTTTTTATTGTGAACACAGTCTTCCTTCCTCATTAGTTAAAAGAATGTTGGAAACTATCTAAACTTTCCTTCCCATGAGGCAAGATGACAAAATGTTCATCCACAATTCCAGCCAACAAATTGGGGCTCATTATTGCCTCTTCCCAGCAGCATTCCTCAAGTTTTGTCATCGCAATTCCTTGTGTTTGTTCATACAACTTACCATCAAAGGTAAAATAGATGCTACTCATGAACAGATTAAGTAGTCTTTCTACGGACGCTATGCGCAACATTATTCGTTGTACGATCTCTGGATGCTTCTGTAGAGTTTTTACTTGAGCCTGATGGCTCTTTGAATAGGGATGTTAGTGTGCATAGACACAACACATCTTCTAGAGAGAAATATGACCGATTTTCGAGATCCGTCTGCCCCAAGAATCTCTTCTGCATGCACTTTCGCATGAAATGAAGGTCTTTTCAACAATATCAGCTCAATCCTATTAACGATCTGTCGTTTATTTTTTTCACCTTTGATCTTTCATACATTCTTTTATGCTTACATCTATTTTTATTTTGCATCTCTTTCATCGAATTTCTATAAATATATCTCAATTTGTATACTTTTACTTTTTGCCTTCTTATTATCTTCTGACTCTCATAACTAATAAACAACTGTTAATTTTTATCCTTTCCATTTTGGCTTTTCCCTACCCAGCTTGAGTCTGTCACCTTCGTTTGGCCGGGACACTTTATAGTTGATGGGCTTTAGTTGCTTTGATGAGTTCCAGGAATAAATTGTTGGTGAAAAATTTTCTTTTCTATCATCCCATCAGCAATTCTCCTCCTTTATCCACTCTCTTTTAGCCATATTTTTACCCTAATGCTTGCCTAGGCCACTAGTTTCGTCCTTGAAAGCCACATGAACTGTGCAAAGCTGACATCTTCGAGTAGCGGACTTTCCAGTTGTATCCAACCTGATTATTTTGATGAGTTTGTCAGTTGCGCTATACCGCATCTGCTTACGTTCGTGTACACACGGCTTTGTGCAAATGATGCACAAAGTGAATATGCCAGATTGGAGTCTGTAGTTGCTGCTGGCAATAAAGGAGACGTGTGACAAATAGGAATGTCTACGCTTCAAGAGAGATGATATTTGCAAAATGTGACTTCAAGTCTTCCTACAGGACAGCACAGCAACAGGAGACGGCGAGAGTAGGCAAGTTGGCAAGAGAAAGAGATACGTGAAAATTCACAAATCCGGCGGAGACAGAAAGCGTTTATAAGGCAGCCTCGAAGACGTCGCCAGCAGATCGTTTCTGATCACAGACAATTGGCTGACTGGATCTCAGACTTGAACCGCATTCCAAGTTGACCATCTCGTCCCTGTTGAGGCCAGAAAGACCGGACGTGGCAACAGTGTCAAGATGTCGAACGTCGAGGCGACGGAATACGCGGCATCGCTCGACTCGTACAGAGCCATGCCCCACAACAAAAATGAAAAGTGCTTCTATTCATCCGACATGGCAGTCGCCTGGTACGACGACAAGCATCCGTTGGAACTGGACGATGTGGAGCTGGAAGTGACTAAGCATGCGCGGAAACGAAAGACTAAGCTGGAAACAATTGTGGTTGTGTTGATCGTCTGTTTCATATTTATCATCTTGGGGACGGCAACTGCGGTCGGCCTTCTCTTCTGGAACGGACTACTCCATTGTAAGTTCAACTTTGGCGGCCGTTTTACTGCAGACCTTTTACAACTTCCAACATTTGCGGTTGTGACTGCGTGGTTGTGTCTCTTCTTCAATACGTACCACGTAGGTGGCGTCATTTTGATACCAAACTTCATGCATGCAATGGACATTCATTTCAAGGAATCCAATGTAGCAAAATTGGGTTGATCTCGTTGTCGAAAATTGGTCTTGTTGTCACGGCGACTTGGTAGAACACACCTAGTCCGAGTCATCTGACGTATTAGTTGCCATGACTCCCAGCATCAGAGAGTGGACTTGGTACCGAGTTCAAGAACTGATGCTGGGTATCATGACAACCAATATGGCAGACGACTTCGGACTAGGTGCGTTCTACATAGTCGCCGTGACAACAAGACCAACCCACGACCATACCAGAGGTCACAACATCTTGGTCTTTATATCTTAGCACCATAATCATGTTTGAGGGTATATATAATGAAGGCCTTGATAGCGAAATTTCCAGAGTAATGAACAATTTTATTCGAAGGTATGAAGAAGGTATGCATGACCATTTGCAAAGTTGGACCGTGGACGTGGTACATTCACACACGTTTCGCCGGCATCTTAGTCGGCAAAACGTCTTGGAAGGTACCACGTTTACGGTCCAACTTTGCAAATGATAATGCATACAATGGACTCCGGACTAGATATGTTCCTCTAAATCTTACTACCAACATGACCAAGTCGCGAAAACAAGGTGAAACAACAATTTTATTGTTCATTGCAGTAGGAT